CTCATTGGGGCGCACCTATACACATATTAAAATAATTTTTTGATAAAATATAATGACCAAAATACCTTTTTAATTTGTCGGGGTATTTTGGTTATTTTACTTTATTGAAAATATTTTTTTAATATTTTTCGCTAGTGCAAGTTTAATAGAGGATTGGACATACGAATTTTGGTGTCAAAATAGTTTATAGAAAAAACATTAAAAATAAAATAGTGTAGAGACGTGACATTTTGATTGGGCCAATCTTAGCCCTCCTTTCAGAATGGACGGTTGGATAAATGGAAGTATATAAGTTTTATGTTGTAGGGGAAGTATAGAAAACTTGTCCAAGTATTTAATGGGTAGATTTATATGGTACAGTTTTTTTTGGTATATACTAGTTAATTATGTATTTAATATTGGATGATTGGATGAGAGCCACAAAGCATCTAGATTAATTGACTTATTATATTAGTCTAGTAAAGTTTTTATAGATGAATTACTTATTGATGGCTTTGACATAATTTTTATTTTTTAGAATTTTAAAATTTCTAATACTATAAATTTATCCAATTTTTTTACTCTGATTTGTTTAGCCTAATTTGATATATTAGCGATATCTTTATATGAAGTATTTTTGCCAATTTGTATTTTTTACTTTATTTTTTCATCTGACTTTTTAAAATAAAAACAATTTGTTTCCAATTTTATGGTGAGCCGATTTATTGATAGTCCCCGACTTGCTAACTATGTGTTAGATATAGACATGGTTTGCCCAAGCCAAGTTGTGGTGGAGTTATAGAAAAGTCTAACAAGAAATTGGCTTCATGGAAATTAAAATATCGTTCATGGAAATTTATGCTTTTAGAGAGTTGCCCATTTATCGTGTCATTATTCATAGTACAACTTTGTCACAAACAAGGTTAAAAAAGGAGGAGGCGGCCACCTAGGCACCTGGGAGGGCGGTTTGTGTTACTAGGGAAGGGGTTGAGGTGGGAGCCACATGTTTTGTGTTTGTGTTTTGTGAATGTGTGTATGCGTTAAGTGTGTGGGCATGCGCACGTATGTATGTGTGTGAGGTCTCATATGAAATTTTTAAAAATTGCCCTCGTTTTTTTCTTTCTTTTGGATTTGTATTTGTGACAAAGAGGTCTTGAATACTTGAAGGCAATGGTTTAAAAAACGGATCGGTGACCCGGATCGGGCTTCCAAAAAACCGATCCGGATCGACGAATCGGCGATCCGGATCGGGAATCAAGTGAATCGATCAGAATAAAGCTTAAAAAAAATTTAAAAAAATTATTAAAATTCATTATAAATATTATTTTTTAGGAATTCAATAAAAAATGAGGGTACTCCATTAAGAATTTTCATGTTTTTGAATGAATATGCGAATATTGATATGTTCTTTCCCTGCATGAACCGCCATTCAGCATTTAATTTACAGTATTTCGTGCTCATCCCTACACTGTTGCTGTTGGGACTCGATATGTGAATAATATGGCTGGGATAGGGTGGCCTCAGAATCATCATCTCTCTCATTTTCTCTTTGAATAATATGGATTAAAAAAAAAAATAACAAATTTTCAAAAAAATCG